TCTGCTATTCAATTTACGGTAGAAAAGTCTGATTTCAAGTGATTTTAAAAGCAACGACTGACAGAAATTGTTTTTGTGGTAAAACTTCAAACTTCGCACGAAATTTCACGCCGCAAAAACAATTCTTGAGAACTTAACTGGTGAAATAAATGCAACTAACATCAAGTAGTTGGAAAAAAAATCTGGTCTTTAATACATCTTTCTTTGTGCACTATCTGAGTTGCTCCCTCGTTGCAAAGAGCTTTTTACAAATCGTTAGTAGACGGCGCGGAAGCCAATTCAATGACAAAGTTGTGTGGACTAACCCATTTGTAATCTGTCAAACCAATTTATCGCAGGAAAAAAGAAATAAACATGTTATTTGCCGGCTTAGGGTCAGTCCGTATAGTGAAAAACTGTGACCTCGGACTTGAAAATGCTGCCTTAGGCCGCAGGCCTCGGGCAGCATTTTCAAGACCGGTCACAGTTTTTCACTATATGGACCTCCCAGCCGGCAAATAACATATATAACTTCATTGACAGGTCCCTAACAGGAGTCTGCCTCGAGGACAGAAGGGTGGCTCTCCAACAAAGAAAAAAGACTCAAACGAAAGTTTTGCCATTTGTTACGACATATCACCTAGCCGTACGTGGCTTAAAATAAATTTTAATGAATAACTGGGTTGTAGTACAAGAGCAGTTGTTGCTGAAAAATGTCTATACCAAGCCTCCAATTATATCATACAAGAGAGGCAAATCTCTTAAAGGTACGCTAGTTAGAGCGTATATTTAACTCAAGGCTGAAATGCATCGCTATCGCAATTCACGAGGGAAATCGGTGTAGGCCTGTCATTATCTTTTGTTACCAAGGGTATACAAGGGTATACAAGGGTTTACAAGGGTATGCAAGGGTTAACAAGGGTATCCAAGGATATGTAAGCATATACAAGGGCAGTAGACAAGGGTTTACAAGGGTATGGAGGAGTATGCAGGGGTATACAAGGGTATACATTGGTGTAAGGGTAAACAGGGGTATATATGGGTTTACAAGGGTATACAAGGGTTAAAACAAGGGGAAAAAAGGGTATGCAAGGGTATACAAGAGTGTACGTGGGTAAACAAGGGTATACGAGAGTTTACAAGAGTATGTATGGGTATACAAGGGTATACAAGGAAATACAAGGGTATACAAGGGTATACAAGGGTTTACAGGGGTATTCATGGGTTTACAGGGGTATACAAAGGTACACAAGGGTATACAAGGTATACAGGGGGTATACAGGGGTATACATGGCTTATACAGAGGGTACACAGGGGGTATAGAAGGGGGTATATAAAGGTACACAAAGGTTCACAGGGATGTTCCTCGGGACATTATACTATTCATCTCAGACGTCCGTGGACAAGGGCTTTTTTTCGGCCCGCTTCACGGACCGTTGGTTTTAGTCTGCGGTTCAAAAATTGTGGTCACGTGATAATGTTTTTGTGGCTCTGCGGTTTGCAAAACACTGATCACGTGATGCCATTTTGGTTGTTCGCGCCAGCGACCGCTAAAAAGAAAACCGCGAGTTGAAGAGATGTTGAAAACAAAGACAGGTCAAAGTTATAGCCCAGGAAAAGCCTTGTCTGAGGACATTAGAAGGGGCATTATAGACACAATTGTGCAAAACGGTGGAAATCATATATCAGTTTTTTTTTGGAGGCAGCTGCTCTGATGTTGCAAGGAAATTTAATGTAAGCAGACAGTGTGCAAAGAACGCGTGGAAAAAATTTGTTGACAGCGGAGAAATTGGTCCTCGAGACAAGAAGGGGGCTCAAAATCCCCCAAATTTGACTGGAACTGAATTGGAAATTATCGAATTTCTCAAACGAGATTCACCATCGATGTCCTTATTGAAGATTTATGATGTTGTAGATTCTTATTGCGCTTTTCCCGGTGGAACTTCAAAGGCTACAATAAGCCGCGCCATTAGAAAGAGGATGTCGTGTGGTCCAATGACTTGGAAGCGAAGCTCGAATCGGCCAATAAACAAATTTTCCCCTGAGAATGTTAATTATTGTCAAGACTTTCTTGATTACATGTCCACTGTTGATCCTTGCAAAATAAAATGCTTTGACGAGGCTGGCTTCAAAATGCCCGATGTTGCAAATCCAAATTATGGGCACTCGGCTGTTGGTGAGCCATGTATTGAAGTTAAGAGGTACATAGACGCGCCAACCGTGACACTTCAAGTTCTTGCTGGTGTGGAAGGAATATTGTATGCTAATACAGTTGATGGGGCAACAACTACACTTGATTTTCTCAAATTTTTCGGTGAAGCGTCAAATAACTTCTTACTGTAGAATGTAGTGAGCTGTGTAACCGCTCCTCCAGTAGTTTTCCAGTAGTTCAGTGGGATGAAACACATTGTCAGTTGCTTGAATTAAAACAGAGTTGCGTTCTCGAGTTTTGGCTATTTTATTGGCTCTAGAATATTACACTGGTGACGAGGTACAGACAAAACCATGGCATTGATTGGGAAAATCGAGGAATACCACAAGAAAGACAGCTGGATTGAGTACACTGAACGGCTCGAGCAGTATTTCGCGGCAGATGAGATTACGGACAACAACAAGAAACGGGCGGTTCTGCTCAGTGTGTGTGGAGCGAAAACTTACAAACTCATCAGGAATTTGGTTAATCCAAGGAAGCCTACCGACAAGTCGTTCGTAGAGCTGGTTAATTTGGTAAAGAATCATTTGAATCCTAGACCATCATCTATCGTGTATCGCTTCAAGTTTAACAGCCGCTTTCGTCTGCAGGGAGAAACAATACAACAGTATGTCACCGAACTGAGGAATTTATCAGAGCACTGCGACTTTGGCGACCAACTGGAGAAAATGCTGCGTGATCGACTGGTTTGCAGATTGAACGACGAACGGATACAGCGGAGATTGCTTGCTGAAAGTCAAGTAGAGTTCAAGAGGGCGATGGAATTAGTCACCGCGATGGAAATTACTGACAGGAATACGCGTGATCTGATTGCTGGAAATCTGAGTGAGAAACCCAAAGAATCACAAGTTAACTGCGTTACCCAAGACCCACCGAAACAGCTACCAAAACAGCCACCAAGGGATCCGAAAAGGTCGACAAAAGAATGTTATCGTTGTGGAGGACAATTCCACGATCCTGATAAGTGCAGGTATAAAGACGAAGAGTGCTACAAATGCCGTAAGAAGGGTCACAAGGCAAGCCAATGTCTCGGTAAGCATAAAGCGGAGTTTCAAAAGAGCGGCAAATTTGGAAATACACATCACCTGGAGGCAACAGACGAGTCAGGTGAGGAAGAATGCGAAGAATACACGATGTTTCACATAAACACCACGGAGAGAGAACCGTTTCGAGTCGTTGTAGAATGTTGTGAGCTGTGTAACCGCTTCTTCAGTAGTTTTCCAGTAGTTCAGTGGGATGAAACACGTCAGTTGCTTGAATTAAAACAGAGTTGCGTTCTCGAGTTTTGGCTGGTTTATTGGCTCTAGAATATTACACTTACCAAACGGGGAGCCAGTTCTTCGTTATGGAGACCATATCCTGCTAGACAACCATGCGACCCATCACAATCAAGGGGGATATGCTTTGGGATGGTGGTTGGATCAGCACAGCATGGAAGTTGTTTATTTACCAACATACTCACCAGAATTTAATCCTATCGAGTTAGCTTTCAACAAAATGAAAACGGTTCCAAGACAGGAGAACATTCGCAAGTCGTTTCATTGGAATATCCATGTCGGAGTGTACAATTGTGTTGAGCAAATAACAGAGCTTGACATGCGGAGATTTTATAGACACACAGGATATATCACTATTTGATTTTTTCTACTCTTTTAAGTACCTACTATGTGTAGTTTATTGTTTGCAGAAATGAGAAAGGACTGAAAGGTAAAACCTTTTGCATGCTCGTTTACGTTGTCGTTATACACTCTTTTTCTTATAGGAACCTTTTTATGAGAACGTTCAGGCTGACATAAACCAAAATTTTTACTAACATACTAAGAACATGCCGGGAGTCTATTGTGGCCCGTTCTGGTCAAAATAAATATTTATTTTGCACTTGTCAATGGACTTAATTGTAAGGTACCAGTAATTATTTGTTTGAATATGTAAAAATATTTTTACCTTTGTTGAATTAATTTAACTGCCATAAATTATTTTTTTTATGCTAAGGGATTATTTTTTTCCTGCGGAGAAATTAACTTTTTTATACCTTTTTTTGTTTTTTTCTATAGAGAATTAATTTTATATCCCTTTAAGGTAATTCCTCTGAAATAAAAGTGACAATAGATTTTTGTTCAAACTTTGTCCACTGAATATTTGTCATATGATAACTTCAATTTTGAA